CCATGTTCCATTATTCAGACATGGTGTTTAACACGGTGTGTGCATGGGAACTATGGGAGCAGAGTGGATGTATACGTCGTCATGTGGCCATGGATTTGTTTACATTCACCGTTTGTACACCATGCATTGGATTTTGCTGCATTTGCTTTCTTTTTAATTTGTTTGGGAACCTTTTGCCCTTTATTATGGCTCCCAAGTGTAAGTCTGTCTCTTCTAATGGTTTTATGTCCTCGATTATAATGTTACCACTGTGTTAGTGTAGGTGAGTGAAATGTGAGTGAGGTACTTATGCAGCATATTGGAGTCTTGACCTAATTAAATATAAACACATATTGGATAAATAGCCCCTTTTTTTCTAAAGGCCCTATGTTAGATACATTTTGTCTGGTACAATTGTTTATTTTGTTATAAAAATACATATGGTAATGTCTGAAACCTAACAATTTAACATTACAAACCAAAAATGTAATTGTCATAGCCAACAGGGCCGAGATTTTGAAATGCATCTTTTATTTGGTTTTTCCTTCATCATAGAGAACCTGGTAATAAAAGATCAGTGCAAGATGCTCTGATGATACTTTTGTGAACCAAACATACAGTACATAAACTCCCTTTCATGAGCTGTGTCTCAGTCAGCTCCTCTGTCAAAGGTGGGTGCAGTTGATCATCCTTGAAAATTGAATTCCTTCTGTTTGTACAGGTGCATTAAAGACCAGTGGGATGGATCTGATAGAACTGCACTAAGAAACAGAACAGACATGATGGAGGCATCAAATGCACATCTCTGGTGCTCAGTTTAAGGATTATCATCGTCTAGGAATAATCCTGAGATGTCGTTAGGCCGTGTTTCATTAGATTTGTTCACTGTTAGTGAAGATTAAGGGGAAAATGTTTTTAATGTGTGTGTGTGTGTGTGTGTGTGTTTTGAAGCCATTCCTGCCATTGTTCCAGTTGACTGAGACAAATGAAGACTGGCTGCTGCTGCTGTGTTTATTCAAAGACTGTGGAGTGGAACATTACACAGTTTTTGACTCGTCTGTTTATGTTTTGAACATGTTACTTTATTTTCACTGATGTTTCCATCATGCTGTGATTATACCAAATTTTATTTCTCAAATTTTATTCCTTGAATGTTTTTTCCCTCCTGCTGCTCCCAGGGGTCAGTTAGACCACAAAACTTTGGGCACCGAAAATTAAGAGATTTCACTTTTTAATTTAGCCAGCAAATGAACACCAGAGTAAAAGTTAATTAAAAGAATGGAATTGCTATTAAGCCACGTTTTTTGTGACTAAAGGTGATACTAAAAGGTTAATTTGCCATTGTGAGTAATTTGATTTTAGATTATTTAAGGACACTTAAAAAATATAATGCCCAAGGAAAATTGAAAACACCCAAATGAGAACACTTTAAGGTTAAAATGAGAGAAAATCAAGTCAGTGTTGGCTCTCAGCTGGACTTTTATTTTTTAAAAGGCTTCTTTTACTGTAGAATGTATTGGTACCGGCAATAGTTTAAACCACAGCCAGTCCACTGAGTGTATGACTCTTGATGTGCCATAAAGTCACGCCTCACTGGCTATTATCTACCTCAAACTCTGTTCTCTGGAGGGACACTGGAGGAGTCGTCTGATTCACTTCCTTCTCTGACTTAAAATTAAAATCAACCCACACACTCCCACATACACACATACATACATATGTATAGACCCAGATAGGAAAGAGAGCTGTGTTTTTAATTACATCCATTTTGTTTCTGCTCAACCCCCCCTCCCCAAAACAGATCACTTTCACTTTCTTGTATCACCTGCATTAAAATGCAGCAGCTGCAGTTCTTCCATTTCTTTTCTTTTTTTTTTTTTTGGTTTTCTTTTTTATCAGCTCACCCTGCATTTGTGTCTCTCACAGCACAACGGTCTGCTTCTCACCTCTCCTCGGTGAAAGTTTGTTTATGAAACACAGACGACTGGCCATGATTTGATTTGGCGTTCAGCAGCTGTGATAATTATGATGAATCTTCCTCCCTGTTGTTTTGGGAGGCATATGTGTGTGTGTGCGTGTATTCGCTGCACCTTTTACCCCTCTGGTACTAATACCTTTTTTCTTACTGCTACTGTACTGTGTGTGTAGACCCAGGACAGGGTTACCTAAAACTCTTGATTGTCACCAGTTGGCAGGTGGAGCAGATGTGTAGGATTTAGAACATTAGGTTAATTCATTAAATGTCTGACAGTCTGTCAGTCCTCATGACATTTAGTGGTTGTTATTTAAACTTTTTACACGATGGGCTTCGCAGTGTGACAGCGCAGCCATCTGGTATCATTATGAGCTTCATGAACTCTATGAATGTTCAATGTATTTCTGTGTTTTATACTGAGATATAAACATACTAACTAGTTGTCAATGGATATCATAGATTAGAACTGAAGGGCTTCATTCATAATGTTTACTTCAACCTAAGTTTTTGGCCAACTTAGGTTTCATCCATGGTTTAAATTATTTTATTTAATACCATGTTCCGGTCAACTGGCTCTTTATTTGGAAAACTGTTGAACTGGAGTTCAGTTTATGTAGCTCACAGAGGTTAAAATACATGTGGTTGTTTTAAGTATTTAAGAGTCTGTACTAATTCTTATTGGATACCTTAAATGCAGTTGAGTATATACAGTACGTGTTTACCTTAAACTACATCTTCGATGAAGAAAGATGATGAAATCTGTGTCTCTCGTGTCATGAGGAAGAGTCAGTGATGAAGTAGTGCAATATATGTTTTGTATCTCACCTTGTTATTTTGACTCATTGAAATATCCTACTTTATATGTGTAAACATATTTCTATTTTGCTTATCGTTGATATTTAGATCCTTTTTATTTTATTGAGGAAAAATAGTTTTAATATTTCTAATTAATGTCCACTCTTCATTTAAGATGAGGTTTTTTTTAATCTAAGTAAAATATTTCTATTTTTTTAATCATTAGGTTAAAATAATGAAAAAAACATTGTTCTGTCCTAACACTGCTCTGTGCTCACTGCTCTTTCTGTTTCCTCACCTCTGTAGTCAGCAAAGGAGTTAGAACTGAAGGTGAGTTTCATTGCACTGCTGCTTTTCTCACCATTTTAATTTATTCCAGTGCTTCCTCACCCTCTCAATAATTGATTTCCCCATTGTCCTCTTGCTCAGGCTGAGGGGCACTACACCAAAAAGTGGAAACTGCCATCAGTGTTCCAATTAGAAATATTTGCAATTATTTCTTTTCACCTAAAAGCCTTCAGTGTTTCTAAGGCTGTAATAACGGCAGTGCATTTAAGAGTTTATCATCAACATCTGTCTTCATCTCCTTTGACTTGATCTCTGTTTAGTGCCTCCTTCTGTTAACTTTAGTACGTTTAGTTTTTACAGCAGCTCAATTAAATTTTTGTTTTGCTTTTGTCACTGGCTCAGCATGTTGAGCCCCTGTATGTGGAATTATGAGTCCGTGAAACAGATTATTTTCTGTGAATGAAGAATGTTCTTTGTTTTGTGAAGTATGTACTAGAAATGAATGCATTTTTACTATTAGTATAAATATACACACAGGCTTTATGACTATTGCTTAGGAAATCAAACTAAAACGTATTATTTAGATAAAGTTAGGTGTGGAGAAAGTCTCTCTGTGTACGTTGTAGTGACTTACTTTCGTGACTGTCTTTGGAGAAGTCACTTCAACAGTTGTGTTTCAGAAAAAAACATTAATTTGTTGTACGTGTATTCATTTTGTATTTTGTGCATTTGTCAGTGAGTCACATTGATATGTAATATTGAATAATGAAAACATACATACACGTACAACACAGGGGGTCCTTTTAGATCAGAATTCCAATCAGAATTTTGGTCCAGCCAGAATGTATCGACCAATAAATCGACCAGTTGACTGGGAGATCACAGCCTAGGTTAAAACATTAAAAGTATGGGCTGTTGTACTTTTATACTAACTATTGCACACATTTTATAAGGATCAGTCATTGAATTTGTTCAGTGTAAGTACATAACTGTATGTATTAATCAAACAAGAAGCAGATGGATTTATACCTTCTGTTGGAGGCTCATGTTTCTATGTCTGGGATTTAGTTTCCCATTCTAGTCTTAAATAAATAACTGTGGGCGAATCAAAGCCTGCATTCAGTTTCACCGTAAGGGCCAAAATGCTTCCGACGTCAAAGTTCTATGTAATTTTTAAAGCACTGCATGTGCATTTATTTGATTTTTGCATGCAAAAATGCAAAACAAAATTATAACTTTATAATAACTTTATTATAACCTTTGCAGATACCCTGGTAGAGGTACACAAGGCATTTAAGCACTCTCAGTTAACATGCCATGCATATTGACAGAAAGCACAAAGTGAAAAAAAATACATCCAAGATCCATGTAATAATTTGTTTAAGAAAAAAATCCATTGCAAAACCTGATTGTGAAGTGTGGTATTATATGAACATAAACAAATGTACCAGTGAATTATTATCACATACATTTTACCATATATAAATGATAAAGCTTTCAACAAACAAACAAACAAAAAAACATCAAAAATGCCTCCGACTTTTACTGACTGAATGGTTTTCTAATGTAGTCTGCTGTGTGTGTTCTGCCAGGCCCAGCAACTACAGAAGAAGGATTCACAGCTGAGAGCTCTGGACGCCTTCTATAAGGAGCAGCTGGCACAACTGGAGAAAAGGGTAAGACGTGCACACAGACACACAGGTGAACTCTTCAAAAAACCACCGATAAATCAAATCCAAACAAATGCACAAAATTCAGCCCAACTTTTACACTAAAATGTTCTGGTAACTAACTTAACTGTCTTTATTCATTGTCTTGTTCGATGTATATAGTCAGTTTACCAGAAATGACTGTGTATACAATAAGAACCAGTTTTCCACAGGAGGAAAATGGCACCAAAATAATCCAAACAGAAGCAGCGTGATGCCAGTGATGCCTACAGTGTTCTGGGAAAATGTTAGATTGCATCCACCTGCACAAACAGCACAATTCACTGCTTTTTTTTCTTGTTGCTGAGGACTTAAACTTCACACCTTTAGTCACATGCACAATGTACTGCTATGATTAAACGGCTAATTAACTGGCATTCATGTTTAAGGGCTGTTGAATAAGCCATGGATAAGCACAGTTTTTTGTTTTTTTTTTTAAATATGTGCTACAAGGTGTCTGAAGACGAGTCAAGGAAAAGACAACACGGACTGTCCTTTATTCATCACTAGTTAGTCTATGTTATATTAATTCAGTAGCAGTATCTTCAGCAAGAAAAAAAAGCCTTTTCTACCATTTCTTTTGTACCGTGTTAAAACACCAGACAACCTGTACATCTCCAAAATAAAAACTGGACTATGGGTGAAAGAAAGTCTGTGGGTACAGTTTGCACAAAGGTCGCTGAGAAAAAAACCTCCCACAAAAGTTGATCTTGGCCGAGCTTCTCCAGAGAGCCTTTACAAGCCTTTTCATCCCACTCCATCCATCTGTGTGACATTTACAAGGCAGGAAAGGTGTAGAAGCTGTTAGTCTCCAGTTAGGTTTCCGTCGCACAGGGCTCCACACATGAACCATTACAGAGACTCTCTCTTTGTGGGCCACTTCTCCGGTTCTCTTTAGTTTTTCCTGTCTTTCCTATTTTGTTCTTCCTCTCGTTATTTTGCCTAAAGACAACATGTAATGTGAAGGGATATAATTCAATTATCATTATACTTTAGACAGTCTGATTTAATTAAGCCATGCCAGTGAATACACTCATGTATAGATCCTCTCTTGTCTACAGCCTTTGGTGAATGAAGGCGTTGACATTGCTATTAGCAGGCAAGCTAAAGTCCTGTTAAATAACTGAATGAAGTAAATCTCAATAGAGCACAATAATATTTGCAGGCCAAGAATAGCCAACATATAAGCTTTGCTAACTCTTCAACCGATAGTGTGTTTTTTTAGCTGTTACCAGTCAGGTTTCTGTTGGCAAAACAATGAAATACCTTATGAGAAAGGCTTTATATGTTTTTACAGCATTTCATATGACACACTCTGAATATCCCCTTTTACAAAATTCTTTCAAACTAGAATAAAAAAAACAACAACAACAACAACAAAAAAAACAGAGATTCTAAAGAGATTACTTTTCTTTAGCAGGAAATCTTTATGGTGCTCTCCAGTAAAGTCAGTGTAACTCAAAACGTATTACTGTGGTAAATAGATTCTACACAGATTTAAATATGTACAAACAAAGGCCTTGGTGTCAGCTGTGCGGCTCTTTGCATAAGTCTCATTAGTGACAGGTTGTGTTTGCAGAGAGAGCAGACAACTGGCAGGCTGACATACGGGCGGCACAGGCTGTGATTGCTGCAGAGCTCACGATGTGTTTTGACAGACTCTTTGGTTTGTCTGTCTGCTACAAAGCCTGATGTCCAATGCTGTCTTGCTGTATATTCAGGTGCAAGTATGTTTGTGTGTATGTCTGCGGTAATGTGTCTGTAGACTGTAGCAAACACAGAATGTCCAGGTTTTATGTTTTATCAAGCATTCAAAATGTTTATGGTTTCCTCAGGTTAAGGTTTAGTTTTCCTAGATATTTTAACTGAAGTGAAAGCAAATATAAGCTTTTAGCAATTTTAACTGTTAGCTTTTGGCTGGATTAGCAATGGATGTTTATGCAGCGGATACAGTTGAGTCCTTTCCTTGATTTTTTTTTTCTTTGAATCATACAAAGGTCACTTGGAAAAAAAAGAAGAAGAAACATGGCTTAGTTTTTGACTTAATAAATCAGGAGCGGGCAAACTTTTTGGTTCAAAATTTGAATGGGGGTTCAGTTCAGTACTGGTTGAATGTGAAGAAGGTCAGAGAATGTGTTGTTATCAAAGACAACCAATATCGTTGTGAAATATTCTAAATTTCATAAGAAATAAAGAAGCAAACGTATCGGCACATCAGCACCACGGTCAGCTCTTTTGCACTGATTTGTTCCTGGCTTATTAAGCCACAGAGCCACACCTCCGGTTTTTCAACTTTAAAATGCTGTGTATGTATTACTTGTCACAAGAGCAGTTATAAAATAAAAAACACTAATATGACTTTTGAAACATTTAAGATGATTATACTTTAAAGATACCTGTTCACTTCAATTAGAAATAAAATCCTGTCTGTGAGGCTCAGCAGCACAAGACCCAGCATCAAACAGTTGGCATAAACACCTGCTTAGCCTTTAGATTTTTTACTTTTAGTAAAATATATTTCGAAGCATGTAGAATTAGAACATACAGGGGGAGATAATAATCCTTCTCCAAGTCTGACACGTTGCCTGACATTCTGTCACATATTGTAGTGAAAATACCTGCACACTAAACACACACACATACTCACACACACACAGTCAAATGCATGCTGTGCAGAGGCACACCTTACAATAACCTTTATATAATTCCTTGGGAGAAAAAATGAAGACATGATGTACTTTGTACATGTCAAGTACAGAGTTCACAGACTACACACCAAGGCGACGTTTATTACTGTATGTTTTTCCTGTAAAGAGCTTCCTGTAGTTTCATGCTGTGAAAGTGTTAGGGTCCAAATAGCTACAACCTTAGCCTCTGTCATAAAATAGATTACATCGGAGTAGGTTCCTTGAAGACGTTTCACCTCTACTCTGTTCTGTTGCCCTCGATGTAACTATTTTTGGATGAGATGACCTGGATGACTGAGGACCTACACAGACTTTAGCCTCTGTCATTTTGGCCTTTGCTAATTTTTCCTCATTTCTGATTAACATTACTTAAAATCCAATTGCCTACACACAGTTTGTGGATGAAGGCTCTTTACGACAGAAAGATTAAAAAAATGTAACTTTTATTATCTTGCTTATCAAACTATTCGTACATGTGTGGATGTTTTACAGCATTATTAACCCTAACCATCTCCATTAATTGGATTATTTTTAGGTTATTAGTCAAAACGTTAATTTTGTTAATCAGACTCAATACAATTTACAATAAATTCATTGATCGCATGATAATAATGTCCAGTAGACTGGACCAGAGCAGTGGTACTCAGAAGGCTTGTCATTGACCCGGTGAACAGCTTCAGGGATAAAGAGTCGTTTTGACATGATCTTCTACCAAAGCCCTCCAAAACACCCAGTCAACAAGAAGATTTAATCTTCAGGTAACATCACCAAATTAGGTGACGGTACCTGATTTCTTTTCTACATTCTTCTTCTGTTCTCTACCCTTCACTCTCTCCGTTCATGGACACATGTTGTCAACTGGGATGACTTCCACAACCCATGTCACTCCTGTCTGGCAGAAGGAACAAACTCCATTCTGCATTTCAGCTGCTGTCTGACCCTTTTCACTGAGTGACAACTTGTCTTCTCTAACTGCTTTGTCACCACTCCTTTTGACAAAACTAGTAAAACTAGTTGGTTTATTTTATGGGATTTTTTTTTCACAGCAGTGTTTTTTTCCACTACCCGTGAGCCATCAGGCAACGCCATATCTTTGGTGTCTTAAATTGATTTTCTCTGAAGATTTCTTGCCTGGTGGCAGACTGAATATTGTGGTTAAGGCATGAATACATCCAGGCAAAGTTTTGTTTTGGGGGATTGCAATTCTCGGCACACAGTGCAGAGGTGAAAAGTATGAGTGTTAATATTAATTAAGCTGCTCCAAGTTTGTTGTTCTGTGTCACTGTTGCTGGAAAAACATAATTTTGTTATTCTGTGCTTCTCTCTCCTATGTCCCTCCCTCCTTCACGTCTTCTGCTGCCTCTCTCACTGACTTTCCTCCCAATTTTTTTTTTCCTTTTCATTTTTGCTCCTTCATAAACCTTCCCTCCCCAGCTGGTACAGTTTACTGCATAAATATTTGGAGGGGATACTGGGTGCTGGAAGGCCTAAGCAAGACGGATCAGCAGAGGAGAGGCTGCAGTTGTTGGGGATTAGCTGCTTGTTTTTTTTACAATACCACTGTCTGTTTGTTTAGGGTTGGTGCAGCCTGGGCAAACTGCAAACTCAAAAATCATGATTTCTTAAAATATGTATGAGTAATGGAGCTTATAAAAGCTTAGTTTGGCTCAAAAGGGTTGAAGTGGCAAAAAATCTCAGGATGTAAATAAAACCTCGTAACTCTTACTTTACACTGGACTTTTCCAGTATAGCACGTGTGATAAAATCAAAAAAGAGAAAATGTGTTTTTTTTTTTTTTTTTGCACAAGTTGCAGAACAAAAAAATATATATAAGTGCTATAGTCCAGGCAATCAGGACTGGGAAGATTTGCAAGCAGAAAAGTCCGTCAGACAATTACCACATGAAACCAACTTAATGGTGTGTTTTTTTGTGTTTATTTGTTTCTAGAATTGGGAAGAATACGAACACAGCAAAGAAAGGTTCCATGAAGCTGTGTCCAAGACGGAATCAAGCGTGAGGTGAGACACTGTCACACATTCACAGGCATGAACTAATCTGTGGTAGCAAATGTAAGTAGATATTATTCCCCAAAGCCTCTAACACACACACACACACACACACACACCCACACACACATAGATCCACACATGACCAAAGGCAAACAGCAGCAGAATAATAAGCAGCATTAGATAGTGATCTGCTCTTTTCCTATTTTTCTAACCAGTAAAACACATACATTCTCTGGAGCAAACCTGACTAATGTGATAAGTGTTTAAATTAGCTTCTTTAATTAAGCCAAAATTGACAATACCAGATTTCCCCATCCTTGCTTTCCACTGTGGACTTGTAATGAGCCACAGCCTGGGAAAAGGGAGCTAATTATACTCAGTGCAGTGTGTGAAAAACACACAGTTATAATTCACTGGAGGAGACCAAACTTTGACTCGCTGCTTAATTCTGTGTCAAACTAGTGACAAGTGAAGGATTATAGAAGATGGGATGTTAGTAGAAATAAATAAAAAAATACATTGTGTAAAAACTTGAAGACAGTTGGTCTGAGTTGTTGGAGCAACTTAAGAAAATATCTGTATATGTATATGTCTCAGATGGACAACAGTTTAAGTCATAATAACCCCCCCCCCCCCCCCCCAGTTTAGACAGAGACTATCAACTGATCAAATTGTGAATGAGGCACATGTAGGACCTGACCAGTCCTGTATAATCTTGACGACTTATTATTGATATTACTTTTTCAATAATTAAATATGTCCTGCATTTATCTGTCAGTTACACATGTAGCCTATATTCACATAACAAGGCTGCAAAAGTCAATATATGAGCTCTAAACCTGCTCATATTTCCCCAACTTACAGTCATTGGGGTAAATGTTGGACTTTAATACAACCCCTGGGTAAAATACCATTGTTTCAATTCATCAGTAGAACATAAATGTTTTTCCTGGTCATCATATATTGCAGTTTCCCAAAGACTGTGTCGCAACCCTCAGTTGTCTCGCATCATGTTTTCCAGAAGTTTACGAATAATGTCTATTGATATCGGATTTATTGGTGAATTAAAAATAATTAATGTCCGTTTTTATGCAGCTTGTTCATTTCCTGTAGAGATCGTTATTGCAACAGAGCTCTGTCCTTAAGTCTTAAGTCCTGCTTTAATAAGCTGAAGAGTTTCCCCTTCCTTTTCGTGCCTAGGTCGATGGCTCATTGTGCGTTAGTCTTGCCAATGCACCTCTTCTGAAGATCAACTGAGGTGATTTTGTATCACCATTGGCAGCTTTTGAATAAAAGCAAAAATCTATTAAGCTCAGGTTTTAAGCGATATTTGTTTTGAGATGAGCTCATCCCAAAGACCAGGAAATCTACCTCAGGGGAATATTTTGGTCATATACCTTTAATCCTCCACTTTTTTGTAGAGAGAAGAAGAAAAGAGGATATTGCAAATCCCTGAGTGTCGTATCAAGGGAGATCAAACAAGCTTCCTGTATGGCCACTTCCGTTATGGTCATGTATATGCTGCTTTTACGGGCTTTAGTGAGCAGATTAAGGTTTCTTTCATTCTGTTAGCGCTAATCTGGGAGAATACAGAAGTGTGTCTTAGGTGTGGAGCCTGTCTCCTTATGTTGTGTCAAAGTAATACACAGTGTGTTTTGATGTTGCTCTGTGTTCCTGAGAGCTTTAACCACGGCTCATTTCAAACACACGATAACCATCGTCATGTCTGTGTTCTTCAGCCCTCACAAGCTGGAGCGAAGTAAACACCAGTAGAAAAACAACATAGTATTATGAAATACAATTAAGAAGTTTTGACACACATCTACATACTTGATCATTTTCACTAGCGCCCCCTGTCTAAAACTGAGCTCTCCCATTTCTTCTTTCAGTTCTGCTCCAAATTTACAAAAAACACTAGAGTGCAGTCAGGCTTGACAAACAGGTTATGAAACAATTTGAAATACAACGTCATTCTTGCGTCAGCAGATCACTGAGACTGCCTGTGTAGTTTGTGTCATAGCCTCGGACATGTAGACCCATCCATCAGAAAAGGTCTGTGACAGTAGACAGTTATAAAACAGACCAAAAACTGAGCAGTGATAACCGCTTCAACGTGTTGGATGGTTAACAAAGGCTTTTCAAGTTCAATGACTCGATGACCCGCTGTAGCTGCACAATTACAGCAAAGGAGGAAAGTGACGTGTGGATGGAAGTGGTTGTCTTTTCAGATACATTTGGTATAACAAAGCGAGAGAGTCTACCTCGACTGCGGAGCTGAAAGTATTAGAACTAAAGCGAAATGGAGACAGACAAAGCAGACGTCCTGGTCCAAGCACTCAAGTCAGTATCCACAGCATCTTAACAAGACGAGCTGTCTGTAACAGTAGTATCTGGACTAGCCTTAATAGCTAGCCTTTGTCAGATCCTCCCCACCTGTGTCAGATGATACCAGCCAACAGAGATCACTCACAGATACGGCTCAAAGATACTGCCGAGACAAGTCTGAGTTAGAGAAGCAGTATTCCTGTGCTTTAAGTGGAAAAAACGAACTAAAAAAGACAAAGAAACACCTTCTCCTGTGCTCCTCTCCTGGGGCCGCTCACAGTCTGTCGTCCAAACCTTTTTATGCTCATGAGTCAAGGCCTATGACCAGCAAATAGTGCATTGTATTTTGTTTGAAGGACTCCAGAATAAAATGTTGGACACATTTATATGATTATAAAGGAAAGGATTATTAGGTTCCCTGTCAGATCCGTGAGCATACTATCCTGGTCAAACAGTAAAACAAGAATACATACAGTATATACATATAAATGTCTATATGTTTTATTGTGTTAAATATGTTTTGTGTATACATATACATACATATATACACACATGTATACAACTAAAGAAAATGTATCGATTTATGTATATAAACCTTTATTAATATCATATATATCGCCTTCCTCCCAGTGTTCCTGTTAACTCATTCACAGCTGCCCCTCAAGGCATAGGAAAATAACTTTTTTCCAGCTTATCATTTTGCTCTATCTGCCATTATTTAGTTTTTCTTTCCAATTAGTGTTTGGCTGTTAGGAGTACTTTACTCCGTTTAATTAAAATGCACACAGTTAATAAGTGACAACCTGAAATAGCAAATGTCAACTGGGTTGACGTGAATGTTGTTTTTAGCACACTGTTATTCTGTATATGAAACGAGGAGTAAAGTTCTTCTACGCCTCTAAACACTGTTTATTTATCTACTCTCTGAAGGGTTATTAATGCACATATTTAGGTCTTTTTTTTAATCTTGTCAAACTTTTAAATGATCCACTCTCCTTTTTAGACGTTATTATCTGTCACAGAATAAACCAGTCTTTACCAAAAACTGTAATTTAACAAACCGCAGCAACATTGAGAAAATACAATTACAAATTAATGCCAACATTCAAACAAATATCTGTAGAAATCTGGTTTGTAATCATGAGCAAAATGCAAATAAAGTAAATAGTTGAGGAAAAAAACGAACACAGTAGAAAACCTATAATTGCATCACAACAATTTCCTTGGAGAGTCCTTTGTCACATGTCATATATGTCATATGACATTATATTTTATTATTTGACATGAACCGTTTCTCTGTAGCCATTTAATACCTTCTACAAAGACTCTAACCGGTAGATGAGATGAATTTGGAGCAGTGTTCTCTACTTTTGTTGTAATGTTTATGGAAGAGACACTGTGAATTCTGAATACTTATATACTGCCTG